GCCCAGGCAGGTCTCGAACCCGCGGGCTCAGGCAATCCACTCACCTCAGCCTCCCAAAGGCGCAGGATTACAGGCTGAGCCACCGAGCCCGGTTTACTCATTATTTTCTAATGCTGCCTGGAGTTGCATAACTTTGTTCATTCTTTCATTTATTTACTCACTCGTGTCTTCAGACATTTATTGATCCATTATTTTCTAATGCAACAGATATATGCCGAGGCTGTACTGGATTAAAGGCTGGTCCAGGTGGGCAGAATCACGGCTATTAATTGACACTAAACGCTAAGATACCCTGACAAAGGCAGGGTGCAGTGGCTCATACCTATAATCCCAGCACTTTGGGAAGCCGAAGTGAGAAGATTGCCTAAGCCCACAGGTTCAAGACCAGCTTGGGCAACTTGGCAAGACCTCATCTCTACAATAAATAAATAAATAGCTGGGTGTGGTGGCACATGCCTGTGGTTCCAGCTACTCGGAAGGAAGGCTGAGGGAGAAGGATCACCTGAGCCAAGCAGGTCGAGGCTGCAGTGGCCGTGAGCATGCCACTACACTCTAGCCTGGGCACAGAGTGAGACTCTAACTCAAAACAAACAAACAAAAAAACACCTTGACAGACCAGGTGTGGTGACTCATGCCTGTAATCCCAGCCCTCTGGGAGGCCAAGGTAGGAGGATTGCTTGAGACCAGGAGTTTGAGACCAGATGGACAACATAATGAGATGTCATCTTTACAAAAAAAGCAAAAATTAGCTGGGTGTGCTGGCACACATCTGTAGTCCCAGCTACTCTTTTTCTTTTTTTTTTTTGAGTCGGGGTCTTACTCTGTTGCCCAGGCTGGAGTGCAGCGGCACGCTCACAGGCACCTCAGCCTCGACCTGCTGGGCTCCGGCAAGCCTTTCACCTCAGCCTTCCAAGTAGCTGAAACTACAGGTGCGCACTACCATGCCCGGGTAATTTTTTGATTTATTGTAGAGATGAGGTCTTGCCAAGTTGCCCGGGTTGGTCTCGAACCCGTGGGCTCAGGCAATCCACTTGTGTTGGCCTCCCAAAGTGCTGGGACTACAGGCTGAGTGACCGAACCCGGCACCAGCTGAGGCTGAGGTAGGAGAACTACCTGAGTCCAGGAGTTCAAGGCTGCGGTGAAACTGTGATTATTCCACTGCACTCCAGCCTGGGTGAAAGAGTGAGACTCTGACTCAAAAAATAAAAAATAAAAATATAGGCCAGGCACAACGTCTTATGCGTTTAGTCCCAACACTTTAAGAGGCCAAGGTGAGAGGACTGCCGGAGGACTGGCTGTGGAGGGAAGGAATGCTTGGACAAGCCCTTGGGGTGGGGATGAGACCCCCCCCCCAACAGGCATTTGGAGTAAGGACAGGGGGCACCAGTCTGCCTTCTGAAGGGAGAGGGTTAGTTAACCTCAGGGCTTTGTTTTCCTAAGCAGAGGCGAGAAGTGACCGCTCCAATAGGGCCTGCACAGCCACTCCTGTTCCAAGAATCCCCGTTGCTCTGGACAAACGTCTGAAGAACTTTCTCTTGAGGGAGCACCAAGTGATTAGACTGACGGAGCTCTCCCTGCCCCTCATGCTGCTAAGTTCTGGGCCTTGGACGAAGCCTTGGAAGCAGACGCAGGCCTCAGGCAGGCCCCTCCCCTGTTGGGGTCTCAGTTTTCTCAAATGTAACACAACACCGAGACCAGGCAGGCCAGTAGGGTCCAGCACCCGACTTTCTGCATCTGAGACTTGCCTCTCCTGGCTGTCCATCCTCACCCCAGGCCACTGCTGGCCACAAGCCCTCCAAGAGACTCACTTTCAGCCAGCCAACGTAGAAAAAGAACTGCAGGAACGTGAAGAGGGGCACCATGAGGTCCAGCTCGTGGCCAGGGTAGGCCTTGGCTGGGTTCAGAAACTGCCGCCCCACCAGGCAGGTCAGGAAAAAGCTGTACACGGCCACAGTCACCACCTGGTGGAAGGAGGAGGGAGCAGCAGTGAAAAGATAGGCCGGGGCGGAAATCAGAAAGCCTCCCGTGCACCACCCCCTCCCCCCCACAACCCCACC